CGGCGCGGTCTGTTCTTGAACTAGTAGATGTTTTGGGACGGGTCGTGTCAAGTGATGACTTTTGACCAATTGAACTATATGTTCATGACGAAGTCTATAATATTTATTTGTTTTATACAATAAGTCTAACATTTCTCTCTCCCATGTGTTAGAGAAAAATGAATTGAAGTGAGAGGTAGGATAAGAGAATAAGGAATAAGTTTAAAACTCATGTCCACTTGAGGAGGGGATAGTGAAGAATCTATTGGGTAGATGATAGTAGGGGTCTTTTATTTTCATATCATGATTTGGCTAAAAACTTGGTGTAAAGTAAATAACCATGTTCTTTAGAAAGTAAAAATATGTCCCTTTGTGGATAGGGGTTAACAATAGGGTTTGTTGTAATATTTTGAAATTTTCTTAGAATAGTAGAATTAAAAATTAAATTATTAAAAGGTTAAGGGTCCACGTTGAAAAGATAACGGAACTAACAAAGGTATATAATAATATGCATGAACTACTCTTCTCATTATCAATTGGTTTTAAGATGAAATCCATGAATATTGATATTGAAGTAATAAGAAATACGTTGTTTACTTTAAATTCGAGGAATTAAGTTCAACAATTGTAGGAGTGACGGTTTGAACCATCCAACTTTAATTAGAATAGTAGTAATAATAATTGTCTCATCGAGGTACCAATTTAAAGAATTTTTATATGATATTAAAATGGAAATCTTGATATTTCAAAAATATACATGGTAAAATATCTTAATTTAACTAAAAAAAAATTAGTCCTAAAAAATACTCGAAAATTTACATTTTAAAAATTTGAAGTCAATCTGAACATAATTCAACTGGTAAGTTAGTTATCAGATTGTTGTAATAAAAAAGATATCAAATTTTCAAAAAGTTAGCATATGGTCTCAAAGATGGAAAGATAATGTTAGAAATATTCAGTAAATGATATGGTAATGGAAGAGTCCAACAAATATCAATCTAAGTAAAAATGTGGAAATAAGCAAGTTTAAGGTCCTTTCGTTTGATAAAGATTTTATTTTTATTTGATTTGTATAGATGTAATTTTAATCTTTAAATTTTACTCAATTTTAATTTAGTCCCCTAATCTTAGGACGTCAATGTAGAGATGGAAATCAAACCTCTAACCACAAAGGAATGAATAAATTATGTTCATATTGGATCACTCCAAAATATATAATATATATATATAAATATTAAAAGCCTAAAACAAAAATGATATTGATACGAGGTTGATATAATTTAGGAATTGATTTGATATGATTTAAGAATCAATTTGATATGATTTGGGATTTAGCCTTTAATTTTAGATATTATTTCGATTTAGATGTTTTATTATTATTATGAATTATCCTATTATAAATAAGATGATATATTTATATCGAGATAGCAAGAAATTCAATATGAAATTATATTTTGTAATTCTTTCTATCTTCACCCCACCCTGAAAACCTCCAAAATTTAACATGGCATCAGAATCTAGATAATTTTCTTGGATTCTTTGTATTTTTGTGATTGGTTTTATGTCAGTCATTGGTTAAATGTTGGTTATTATTTATTAGATTTTTGAATTTCTTGCTTGATCTAGTTATAAACCTGTCGAATCAAAACTTTTAAAATTTGAGAGATTACAAAAATGATTCAAAATACTAAAAAAAGTCTAAAACCACGTTTGAATTTTTTTTATTTTTTTTTAAATCCATGATAGAGTTGACAAATGGAGTTCTCTACTCTACTTCCATAAAATAGCCCGTGACATGCCTCTGTGCTCTGTCTTGAGAATTCCTCTTTTTCCTTACGTTTACCAATTTTATTCTATTTTATTTTTGAAATCTCGCGTTTACCAATTTTAAGAGATCAAATTTGTCAAAACAATAATTATTATTAGTTTTTGGAATAGATCTACTACACCTACACCTCAATTCACATCAGCTCTATACTTATTTTCTATTACATTTAATATTCCTCATTAATAATAAATATTATTATAATTAAAAATTAAAACAGGACGACGAAATTATCAAAACATATAAGTTTAAATCTAGTTTTGATCTCTGCCAACTTGAGCACACAATTAGTTAACATCAGAATTTTGATCTCTACCCCAACATATTTTGAATTAAAACTTTGAGGTTAAAATAGACATTTTAAAAATTTTAAATTTTAATTAAATTGCTAATTAGAATGCATGAATAATTTAAATTTCATATTCCTCCAATGCCTTTTATTTATTTTTATTATATTTTGGTAAAATAAGATATAATTTTATAAGCAAATAATCGAAGAACTATGTGAGAAAATTCCATGTGGCCACAAACAATTCAAAGAGAAGTCCTTTCAGAATAGTAAAAATAATAACTGAGGGATAAGGAAATGATATGGGGGGTGGGTAGGCCATGATATTTAAATAAAACAAAATATAGGGGTTCACGTGTAAATAATAACAAAAGAAATTGGGGGTCAAAACGTAAGAAAAAAGGCCGACGGCCATCGGGCGTGAGTGACGTGGACCGGTCGCCGTGATTTTCTCCTAACTCGTAGTCACGTCGTCCGTCACGGCATGTGTATTGACGGAATTGCCCCCGAGTGCACCATCATTTTCATTTGTTGGGGTAATTATCGGGTGCGGTCAATTCTACGGAGTCCTCCTCCTGGAAATTCTAAAAAGGAAAAAGTACATTGGTCTCTCATGAAAAGAAGATACGAACAATTTTTCCTTTTGGAGATTGTAAAAAGTATAACATTTTCTTAGATGCTTTTTTATTTTTATTTTTTTTCGTTCTCCCCTTTTTTACTAGTGGAATTTATGGAATATATAGAATTTATTTTTATCATTTTTAATATTTACTCGTTGGAATCAACTATTCAAGAGATTAATAAATATTATAAATTTGTCTGAATATAGTGTATTTTTCAATTTTTTTTACTGTAGAGATAGATTATTAAACTATCCATCTTAAAAATGGTAATAAATATCTTATACATTTGAACTATATTCGAATTCCCATTTACTTTCGTTAAGTTACTAGTAATAACTTTTTTAATTTTTTTTAATTTATATTTACTATCTTATTTTTTAGTTGTATTAATTACCATTATATTAGACCCAAAAAGAAACACACAATGGATTGTCAAGAAAAAAAATCCAGTTAGAATAATTGACGTTTTAAAGAAATTTAATGTAAACAGTTCATTCACACTTGATCAATATTTCATTAATTGGGAGGTATAAAAATTTTAATCAAAATTAAATTTATTTACTATGATGGTGTGAATTCCTTTTCAATCCCCATTTATAAGTTTTTTTCCGTACAAACGTAGAGGTTGGAGATTGAACTTAAAACATCATGGTTGAAGATATATGTCAATTATCGTTAAGTTATACATGTTTTAGCAATTTATAAGTCGAAAGTATATGAATATGGACATAAAAGTAAATAATAAAAGGAAATTGAAAATAGACTTTCAAATTTGTTTTATTATTTTGAATGTATATAACAAACAATTTGTTTCACACAGACATGAAATTAAATTTTGCCTTTTCTAGGATTTGAAAATGACTTAGGCACTAAATAACAATATCAAATCCAAAACTCCCAAATAATTATTAAAAGGCCACCTTTTTCTAATGTAATTAATCACTCGATCCCCTTTCTACAATTATTATTATACACATGTCTCTTCATGATGTGTAATCATTTAATTGCTTAGAATTGAAATTAAACGAATACTCGAATTTTGTAATGTAAAATTTAAAAACAAAAAGTTTTTAAGTTATATTTTCATAATCTTTAATCTTATATATATATATATATATATATATATATATATATTTGGATCGTTCGAGATTTTCTCATTTCTGTACGCTAAAAAAGTCTAATAGGGTGGAAATTAAAAAACTTCTCCTAAATTGACGAATTGATGTTTTATTCGACTGTAATGGAAATAAAATTTAACATCGATCTGATAACTACTTTATTGACGTTTTGTTTTTAAAAATTATATTTATAAACATTTCTTTCACCCATGTGTTAGTTTATTTTTTCATGTAGTTTTTATATTTTCAGAATCTAAACTAAATTTCGAGGAAAAAAAATTTTCAAAAAGTAATTTTTGTTTTTAAAATTTGACTAAAAATTAGAATAATGTTTTCGAAATAGTTGAAAAACTTACCACTCAAATTGTATAAAAACAAGCACAATTTTTAAAAAACAAAATTAAAAGCAAAACAGTTATCAAACGGCACAAAAAGTCATAGACTATCAATTTACTATAGTTCAAGTGGTCAAAACGTATATATTTATTACCATACCAAAATTAGATGGTCTTGTTAAGGACAGTGGTACCCTAGTACTCAAAGTATCTCCACAATTGTATGATATTATCTGTTTTTTGCATAACTCTCACGATTTTCTTTTTTGTTTCACTCAAAAGATCTCGCACCAGTGGAGATAATTATAATTCTATACTCATGATCATCCTATTCCCTAACCAATGCATGACTTTATTTGAACTTTGACCTTTTGATAGAGGTAGATACTAATTATTGGTTAAGAAATTATAAATTACTTAAAATAATTTATTAGAGGGAATAAATAATCAAATGGGGTAATAATCATACTAATTATCTGTGAGGAAGGAATAAAGGGAAAATGACTTCTTGTTTTTTGTTTTTTTTGTTTTTTTTGTTTTTTTTGGTGGTGACAATAGGAACGATGACAAGAGAGGCGAGCAAGGTTAAAGTTATTAAAAAAAAATATATATATATATATATCAATTAATTTCAAAAGGTAAAAAAATGTAATGATGGAAAATTTTAAATGGACACGTTTTAACTTTCCGTCCAAAAATTTATTTCCGGTATCTCCGTTATTTGCTTGGATGACGCCGGATTGCCGCCAAATAAGGAAAAGACAAAAATGCCCTGGGGGTTTCTAAGAATGCCATGAAAGTGGAAGAAAAGAGAAGAAGAAAAGAAGAGAAGCGCAGTTTTGAGAAGCAGAGTTAATAAATTCCTTCACAGGCTCCACACACTCTCCAATAATTTCTCTCTCTGATTCTGTCCGTTTTCCCCTTTTTTTTGGGTAACCCCTTTTGTTTTTCTCCAGTTTCCGATCCGAATTTCCCACATTCCATTTCCCATCTTGTATTTCCAAAGTTTTTGTCGTTACGGATCCGCCTTTCTCGCTCTGAACTTCCTCCTCTGCCACCTTCAATTTTCCACCGTTATTCCCTTATAGGGACACCCCGATTTCGCTGTTCCTTCTTTGTGGAACTGTTCAAATTCAACGTGTGTGTGTCTCTGTGGTTTTCTTTTTCACTTGGTTCAGACACTTCTTCTTCCTCTTTCTTAGCGATCCCAGTTCCGTGATTTTCTCACTGCTTCTCAGTGCGAGATTTCATGTGGGTATTGTGAGTAATGGTCATTCTCAGGGCTTGCTGCTGCTGCTTCGAAGATCTGCCATGGAAGATTTCAGAACAGAGCTCGTTTTAGCAATCCTCCTTGCTTTGATTTCTGTGGGTTTCGGCGCCACCGACCCTGATGATCTTGCGGTTCTCAACGAGTTCAGAAAAGGGTTGGAGAATCCACAGCTCTTGAAATGGCCGGTTAATGATAACGACCCATGTGGCCACAAATGGCCCTCTGTTTTCTGCGATGGTTCGAGGGTTTCGCAGATTCAGGTCCAGGGGATGGGGCTGAAGGGTCCTTTGCCGCAGAATTTCAATCGGCTCTCTATGCTCTCCAACCTCGGCCTCCAGAAGAACGCATTCTCCGGTCCCCTGCCCTCGTTCGCCGGCCTCAAGAATCTCCAGTACGCGTTTCTCGACAACAACAATTTCACTTCCATTCCCGCTGATTTCTTCACCGGCCTTGATAGTTTAGAAGTGTTGGCTCTTGATGGGAATGATTTCAATGGGAGTTCCGGGTGGATGATCCCAAAGGCGTTGAGCAATTCAGCTCAGCTGACCAATCTTACTTGTATGAGTTGTAATCTGGTCGGTCCGATTCCGGAATTTCTGGGGTCTATGTCCTCGTTAACTGTTCTGAAACTCTCCAACAATAGACTCACCGGGGGAATTCCGGCGAGCTTTAGCGGGATGATTTTGCAGATGCTTTGGCTGAATAATCAAGTTGGGGATGGATTGAGTGGCTCAATTGATGTGGTGACGAGTATGACCTCGTTGAGCAGTCTGTGGCTTCATGGGAATCACTTCACAGGACCTATTCCTGAAAATATTGGGAACTTGAGTCTTCTGCAGGATCTGAATCTGAATGGTAATGAATTTGTTGGGTTGATTCCCAAGGGCTTAAGTGATATGAATTTTAACCATTTGGATTTGAACAATAACAATTTCATGGGTCCAATCCCAAAATTCAAAGCATTGAAATTGAGCTATTCTTCAAATCAGTTCTGTCGGGCCGAGGAAGGGGTTGCTTGTGCCCCTCAAGTCATGGCGCTGATAGAGTTTCTCGCTGCCTTGGACTACCCTTCAAGGCTTGTCTCTGCTTGGACTGGGAATGATCCATGTCAAGCACCATGGCTGGGATTGAACTGCAAATCCGGGGGAGTCTCGGTCATTAACTTACCGAAGTTCAATCTGAACGGGACGTTGAGTCCTTCACTTGCAAACTTGGATTCACTTGTCGAGATTCGACTTCAGAACAACAATTTGAGTGGTCAGATTCCCTCAAACTGGACTGCTTTGAAGTCTCTTACTTTGTTGGATTTGAGTGGGAATAACATCTCCCCTCCTGTGCCTCGATTCGGTGCCACTGTGAAACTAGTTACGGGTGGGAACCCTTTGTTAGATGGTAAGCAATCTCCGGCTACCCCATCGTCAGGAAAAGGAGGCCTATCACCTCCCAATAGCCAGTCTCCCGATAGCCAGTCTTCTCCGATGACAGAACCGGGTTTTAATTCTGGAGATGACGGTATAGGACAAAGATCTAATCGTTCCAAGGCATCTATAATTGTTTCTACCGTAGTTCCTGTTGTAAGTGTGGTAGTTGTTGCTTTTCTGGTCATTCCTGTGTCTATATATTTATGTAGGAAGAGGAGACGCAGTTCCCAGGCTCCTAGTTCTCTGGTTATTCACCCAAGAGATCCATCTGATCCCGACAATTTGGTTAAGATCGTTGTTGCGAATAATGCAAATATGAGTAATTCTACTGCCACGGGAAGTGGTTCTGCAAGCAGAAACAGCAGTGGACTTGGCGATTCCCATGTTATTGAAGCTGGAAATCTGGTAATATCTGTACAAGTCCTACGAAATGTGACGAATAATTTTTCTTCAGAGAATGAGCTTGGTCGTGGTGGGTTTGGAGTAGTTTATAGGGGAGAATTGGATGATGGAACAAAAATAGCAGTCAAAAGAATGGAGTCAGGTGTAATTAGCAGCAAAGCATTGGATGAATTCCAATCAGAAATTGCAGTTCTTTCGAAGGTACGGCACCGTCATTTGGTATCGCTGTTGGGATATTCGGTTGCAGGAAACGAGAGACTTCTCGTATATGAGTTTATGCCTCAAGGGGCTCTAAGCAAGCATCTTTTTCATTGGAAAAGCTCCAAGCTTGAGCCTCTTTCTTGGAAGAGGAGGTTAAACATTGCCTTGGATGTTGCTAGAGGGATGGAGTATCTTCATGGTTTAGCCCATCAGAGCTTCATCCACCGGGATCTCAAATCTTCAAATATCTTACTCGGTGACGATTTTAGAGCAAAAGTTTCTGATTTCGGATTGGTTAAACTAGCACCTGATGGTGAAAGATCTGTAGTAACCAAGCTTGCAGGAACATTTGGTTACTTGGCTCCAGAATATGCCGGTAAGCTTTTAATCTTCTACTGATTATATCTAAAATCGGAATCAAGTTGAACATAGTGAAATAAATCACTTAATTCAGTGCTATTATAAATTGCTTCTCATTCAAATTTACACTATTATTTCCCTCCAGAGTTCATATGGTGCTTTACTGAATCAAATTATTAACTAGTTAATGCATCTCACCTTTGCACTCATGAATGTGGCTGTTGAGACTGGAATTTTTCTTCTCAACTTCTCAAAAATCAATTTGTGGTAAATTTTGGTCAGGATTTTAATTGTAGACTGCAAGATAAAGAATTTGTTAGTAAAGATCCTGAAGTTACTCATTTTCTCATTGTTATGGCAGTTTCCTCTCTAATTACTACTTTCATGGTTTCATTGATACAGTGACAGGTAAAATTACTACCAAAGCTGATGTCTTTAGTTTCGGGGTTGTGTTAATGGAGCTTTTGACTGGACTAATGGCTCTCGATGAGGACAGACCCGAGGAAAGTCAATATTTAGCTGCGTGGTTCTGGCATATAAAATCGAACGAGGAGAAGCTGATGGCTGCTGTGGATCCATCCTTAGGTTGCAAAGAAGATATATTTGAAAGCATATGCATTATGGCTGAGTTAGCTGGACACTGCACTGCAAGGGAGCCTAGCCAGCGACCCGACATGGGTCATGCTGTAAATGTACTGGCTCCGCTCGTCGAGCAATGGAAGCCATTTAAAGATGACACGGAGGAGTATTCTGGAATCGACTATAGCCTACCCCTTAACCAAATGGTGAAGGGATGGCAAGAATCCGAAGGGAGCGATTTCAGTTACGTCGATCTGCAAGACAGCAAGGGCAGCATACCAGCAAGGCCAACAGGGTTTGCAGACTCGTTCACTTCGGCTGATGGTCGTTGAACTAGGTACCTCCATGCTTCTCTTTGCCTCGTGCTTTTTCTCTAGTAGGTGGATAGCTGGTTGCGCGTTGCTTCTGTTTCGATACATTGTCATATATGTTTCGATTTCTTTCTGCTTCTGCTATGGGATTGATTTGAAAGATTTCTGATGCCAGAGAAATCTCAAGTGTAGGATTACGGTTTTTCGGATAATGTCGATGTAGATAGATATCAATGGTTCTTGAAACTAAATAGTTACTTCGTATATATTTTTTTTTTTTGTTATTTTGTGCTTGTAAATTCCTTGTGAAACAGATTTGCAAAATGCCCTCTTGTTTGCTCTTCTTGCATCTTGAGATTAAGGATGAATCCGCGCCTCTTTTTGTTTGTTGGATTTGAGGAGTTACAAAAGGAGGGTAAAAGAGGAAGAGGAAAGAGAGGAAAAAATGGTTCAAAGAATATTTGTGGTAGGGAGATGGACAAATTGATTGCTTGCAGCCACTCAATTGAGAAATCAATTGAGAATTTTGTTTTTGGTTTGTAACCTTTTGTTTACTCTTCCCTTTTGGTTTCTTAGTTTTTAAACTTTAAATTTTAGTCTTTCAACTTTTTAAATTTTCATTGATATGCTGATATTTCCATCCATATATCCGTGAATTCACATGAGGGGTGATTTGACATTTCTATAGTATCACAAAAAAATCAACGAAAATATACACAATAATTAATTCTAGTCATAAAAATCTTATTTCAAACCATTGAAATCATGATGCAACACTATCAATGATCCATGTACTATATCTAAATTATCAATTTTATGGGAGGGACCAAATTTGAATATTTAATGATGGTTTAGACTTTGGATTTTGATCCCTTATCTTTAGTTTATCTTTCCTTTTGTTCCTTTATTTTTAAAATTTTAAGTTTAGTTCTTCAAATTTCACGATGCTCCTCATTTAAACCTTGCCATAAAACTTTCATTATAAATAATTTAAAATATTAAGATATTAAAGATTGAAAAAAAAAGAGTAAAAATATAGCACCAAAACTATATTTAAACTTTTTCCATACAAAATTATTAAAATTTGAAATCAAAATAAATCCTTTACATAAACTAGTCGTTGTCAAAGAAACCATGACCATAATACAAATTTTGGTTTCTTCAAGAAATTCAAAACATTTCCACAAAATTTCTTATCCATGAATTATTCACAAGGGCACAAAAAGAAACAAAAGTATTTTCAAATTTTGAATAAAAGATTAAAGGCTAAGATACACTGTTGGTACATGTAATTTTATTGGCATAATGATTTAGTCCTAGAATTTTAATTTGTAAAAATTTAGCACAACTTTCAAATTGGTAATAACTTAGTCTCTCAACTTCAATGTATAATAATTCAGTCATTACAATTTAAAACTTGTAACAATTTAATCATTGTTGCGAAAAATCTCATCAAAATTAAGTGTAGATTTTTACTATGAACTATTTAATCTTTGTAGTTTATAAACACATCTGACCTCATTAATTTATCAATCTACGTATACAAAAAATCCTATTAAATCTTAACAATATTTTCCATGACAAAATATTACAAATTCTAAACTATAGAAGATTATATTATTACTTTAATGAAAGCATAGGAGGCAAAAAGTATATTTTTTTCCTAGCAAAATCTAAACTTTGTGAGTTGAACTACCACGGTTAAATAACTTCATTGGTCTAAAAGTATGATAAATTTTAAATTAGACGAAACAACACACACCATGAGATAGGATTGAATAACGACTATCAATTATGACCCGTAGCTGTTTTTATAGTGAATTCGTGTAAGAATTCTATTGGCCCTGTCATGAGACTTTTTTTTTTCTTTTCCTTTTTTTAAATAATGGTAGACATGAGATATTTCCCATTCATTCAATGATATCCCCTATTGATAGGGGTAGCCTTTATAGCCATGGAAAAAGGTGTGGGCATCATTGCTCTCTCACTCAAACCAATTCTCACAAAGGCAATCAAGATCGTATAGTGACTCGTTCACTAATTATCTTCCTCTTAAAAACGATGCTTCTTTTATCACAAATCTCCTAAAATTTATATAGGACAGACACTTTTCTTCTTAAAAACGATGCTCCTTTTGTCACGAATCTCCTAGGATGACATTTGTCTTAAAGAGTATAGAGCACTGATGAGTGCTTAGTCATAGTTCTTTACGACATGAAGGTAATTCTTCTTGTGTTGCAAGATAATTCACTTGTGGTAATAACCTTTTCTTTTTTTAGGGAGTTGTAATTTACCTACAATATTCAAGAAGGGAGTGTAAGTATATCAATATAATTGTTGTTGAAATGTTTAGTACACGTAAGTCAGAATTATTATGAATCTCTTAGACAATATGTTTCAAATAAAAAAAATTAACAATAAAACGTTTTCTTTTTCTATTTATTTGAGCTCAACCCAAAATGTAAATCTTTTAGTAGATAATATACGTTTTAATCAGAGTTAAAAGTAGGGACAGAAACAGCAAAGTACAGTAGCAACTACGAGACAAAAGGTCACAACAACGATGGCTAACAACAAGAGAGGAGGTGACGAGTTCACTGGGGCGAGAGGAAAAAGAAGATAGGAGGAGAAGATGAGCTTACAGTCCAATCATCCATAAATAATATTAAATAAATATATTTACCAAGTTAGCAAAATATAATCCATTTTCATTAGTTAACTGACAGTCAAATCACTTCAAAGACTATTTAGAACCATTTTTCAAACTAATGTATATTTCAAAATTTTAGAGACCAAATAAACAATCTCTTCAGGTGCAATGACAGAAAGTAGAGGTATTTTAGAGCCTAATGATAGAAAGTATAGGTATTTCCATTGTTTCTGTTTCTTCAATTTCAATTTTAATAAAGAAAAAAACTAACTCTCATAAATTCAAGAATGATAAAACAATATTTTTATTTATGTTTTGGAATACATTGAAAACAGAAACAAACAAAAAAAAACTTATTTTGGTTGTTTTCAAAATTTCTATACAAATTAAAATGTTTCTAAAAGAAAATGAAAAATAAGAAACATAAATAGTTGTCAAAAGCTTAGATTTCTTAATAAATTTGAAAATGAGAAACATGAAACGAGAACATAACTAATTGCATCCTAACTTGATGATTAATCTCATCTTCACAACATATGCAATTTCAATAGAATAAATAAATAAACTATAATTGATATGCAAATAATAAAAAGAAAAAGAAAATCCAATCCAATAAAATATAAGCTTATTGTAAGAGAGGTTTACCTGTTGCAAGTTGAAATGACAGTGAAGTTGGAAACTTTTAACAAGAAGCTCCAACCTTCCCACCAAACACAAACGGTCCCGCACATGAATAGAGATTTGTTTTTCCCAACTTTCTAGCTAACTGAAATAATAAGAATACATTGACAGAAAAGTTACGTGGAAGAGCTGCAATTACTACAGTAATAGACAATATTAATTTAAAGAAGTAATTGCGTTATTCTTCATGGAACACTACATTAAATGGATTGCCCCCATAGCCAAACTTCTAAATAAATACTAATATAAGGCTAACATTCTAACGTCAATATGAAGGGATCAGATACAAATGTATCTCAGCATCTTTTGACCAGATTGAGAAGGAACTAGCAATTGCTTACATCGAAGCAAAGTAGTGAGTGACCTTTGCTTGCCTTGACATACGGCAAGCTACTTGAGCCAACAGAAAATCAACGGTTCTTTTGACATCACCATGGATTCCAATGAATAATCTGAACATCACACCCCATCATGTACTTGAAACGCGGTGGGCAACAATTACAAATAAGATTTTTCCCTAGCATATATCACCTGGAAGGAAATATAATGCACAAGCTAGTGAATCACCAAAAGCAGCACCACAAGATAGCAAGCGGGCTGCATCCTCTTCTGATTGTGAGCATATTATCAATAAAGAATCCAGATATTGTACAGCATTTGAATCACAGTCCACACGGTCCTGAAACCAAGTATTACAATCATCACAAATAATGAAGTGATGAGTGAAAGTTCAGAAAATAGGGATCAGTAGGAAGAAGACACGTAAAAAGCAAGGATCAGAACAAAGTTATGGAAGATTGTGATAGAAGAGACTGGGACAACTGGAGAGTTAGGACTAAAAAGTAAAGGCACGAAAAAAAAGTTCCCGTAGCAATGTCCAACTATTTAATTACAGCTAAACACAGACTCAAAGTCGTAGTATGAGCTATGAAAAAGTGAGCTTAGCAGACTTCAATGCTGGCAATTATCAATTATAAGAAATTAGTGCACACTATTACCAGAAAAATAAATCTACAATCAATTAAAGTCTTTTAAAATGAGAAGCAGTTTTCATTATGAATTTGATAATTTGCAGTTCCAGCTGTACCTGTACAGCTAGGTGTGACTATAGTTCTTCTGAGAAGCAACCGATGTGAAAAGCTTGAACAGGATCAGACCTCTGGTCTTTCAGTGAGGATATGGGCACAGCTGATAAGACTCTTGATGTACAAAACTGCTTGTAAGGGCGAATGGCAGGAGGTAACAATAAATCTGATTGTTTATTAACAGAAAGTAGCCGTCCGCATTTACTGCAAGACAAACATTACGTTAAAATGTCAAATCCAAACAGAACCAAATACAGAAGCATTGAAAATCCCAACACGCACCTACAAGCTTTTGAAAATAAATTTTGGTAGCTGCAGATCCAAAGCTACAAAAAAATACCACATTAAATTGACGAGTATTTTAAATGGAATGGAGAAAGAATAAGGCATGTCCACAAATGTGAATGGATGATGTTACCAATAGAGGATATAGAGCTGCTTTTTCTTGAATTCCAAGAAAATACTGCAGCACAGTGGCAGCATGCTCCTGCATTAAGATGAAAAAGAACTTGTCATCTCTGAGAGGGAGAGCACTAGAATCCTGAACGAAAGTAAACATAATGAATAAAGAGATACATACCGTCACGTGTCTA